AGTATTTGTGATTTATCGTCCAGACCGAAAAGTTATGCAGTCGGTACAAATTAATTTAAAATGGAGTGGGGCAGATTTTTGACTCCAGCTAGACAAAACAACACGGGCCATCGACTCCGACATCCAACGATGAAACGAGACTGAAGAGAGAGATTCAAGATAGCATAATATGAAATTTGGCATGCGGGTGCTACTGATGTAAGCTAGTGCTGAAAAGACGTCAGTACGACCCTAACTTAAAAGAATTAAAATTCAATGATAACTGCATCTATTTGTCAATGTGAGGACTTCTTTAATAGAAAAGTAATATCACATTGTTAACGCTAATACGTAATCAGCTCATACTCGCGAACAGAAGTCACAAAACATTTCAGTCAAACATGATTAACAAATCATGAGGAATTATTAACAACCAATAACAAAACTTAAAAAAAGGAACACAAAACACAACAACCGGTAATATTCTAAAAACACACATTAAAGAAAAGTGCAGTCTATTTCCTAAATTCTAACGCTCCGTCTAGACACGTCGTTTTCTGGTTGCCTCTCGTCCACTGAGGAACTTGTGGATTTCGAGGACAAGCCTCGTCCACGAAAAGCCCTCCCTGTCACCGTCAAGAGACGTGCCCTCTCTAGGCTGGGAATCGTCAGTGGTGGCGGGGACGTCGGGGACATCGGTGGTGGGCACCGTGGTGGTGGCGGTGGCGTAGTGCTGGTGGCGCCTCCTACTGACGGCGGCGGTGTCGACTGACGGCGCCGGGCTGCTTTCCACCGTGCGCCTCGAGGACGCCTGTCTCCTGGCCGCGGGCCGGCGCGCTACCGGCGCTGACGTCGACGTCGGCGTCGTTGGCACGAGTGTCGTTGCTGCTGGTGTCGTCGTCGTCGTTGTCGTCACGGGGGTCGTCGTGGCGGTGGTTGGCGTGGCGCTGCGGCGCACTGACGGACTCCTCCTGGCGGTCGCTGCTCGCTTGCTGCTGCTGCCGCTGCTGCTCGCGCTCTTGGTCCTCCCGCTCCTCTCGCTCAGCCTCTTCCTGGAAAGAGCGGGAAAATCATGTCAAACTATTCTGATCGAGGCCGGCTGTAGGCAGGGAGGCCGCCTCGAGGCCGCGCGGTGGGCCGGGCTGGGGCTGCAGCAGTGAGTTCGCCCCCTGTACCCCCGGCCTGACCCGCACCTGGTCTCGCTGGATCTGCGCGTAAATGATGTCGAGCGACCGCTGTATCTCTGGGGGCACGGGCGGGGGCGTGGGGATGTGGTCGCCAGTGGCCCGGAAGCCCATCTCGTCCGCTGTGTAGGTGAGGGTGATGAGGCTGCCGTCGGGGGCCGTGTACGAGTACGAGCCGTGCTGCACCAGCGACTCATCCGCCTCCTCGGAGTCGCCTTCGCCCCCCTGCGGACGCCTCAAGAACCCTGTCTCCTCGGCGAAGATGTTGTTGGCCGTCTCGTAGCTGGAACAGGTAGCACGGGGTTGGCTCAGGATGGCGCCAGAAAGGTCACAGGGCGGCCCGGCCAGGCACAGACGCCGAAGTCCACAAGGGGCGAACTCAATGCTTCTCGTGGGCGGCCAGTAAGGCGGTGGCGCCTTTGAGACTCGACTTTGACTTGAGAGTACAGTGGGTTGCCTATCTACACGGCGTGCCGCGCGGCGGCGGCCCAGTCGCGGCAGTTAGGTTGCCTGCCTGCGCGGCGCTGCGCGGGGGGCGCGTTACTGACCTCGTCTTGTAGCTGCCATCCGCACTTTGCTCCTTGTCAAAGTGGACTATTTGGATGATGGGGTAGGGCGTGCTGGTCGTCGTGGTGGTTGTGGTGAGGCCGCCGTCGTCGTCGAGAGCGGGCCCTGCCGCCGACCCCTCCTCCTGGGGCTGCTGCGGCTTGCCCCGCTGCTGCTTAGTCAGCTGGTGCTGCAGCTGCTGCTGCTGCTGCGGCAGGAGCGGCTGCTGCTGCAGGGCGAGGAAATTTTGGTTTGGTACCCTTTGCCTGAAAAGATGCGGGAGGGGGTGGGGTGGGACAGAGAGCAAAATCAAGACTGGAACGAACATCCCGCACACTGCTGACCTTTTTGGGGTTTTTTCAAAGTAAATCAGGAAAAACTTGCGTCTGTCCTCGCCCGTCCTCACCACGACCTACCTCGAGTTTTTTTGACGGGGCGTTTGCAAGCTCTGCAGAGCCTGATCCTGCGGTACGAATTTGAGCGACTGGATGGATTGCTGTGCGACGTACTGCCCGTCGGACGTAGACTCGACCTCCTTCGTGGTCTTCTCTACGACTGGCTGGCTCACGTACGTGGTCTCTGCAGTCTCCAAACCTATGGATAGTATGACAACATTATTATTTACCACGTTAACTCACTAGCACCGCAGTTGATTATATTGACCCGATTGGCAGCTTCACCTGATCTCCTATTTTCCTCTCCTTCGGCGGCCACCTTGTCAGCTGCCCTGCTCACGCTTTTCCTCTCTTTCGCCTCCTTCTTCCTCGCACTGCTGGCGGTGCTCGCCTCGTGCGTCTCCTCCTTCTCCTTCTTGGCCTCCGTGCTCGGCGGCTTGGCTTGCTCCGACTTCTTCTCCGTTTTCTTCCTCCTGTGTGCGTCGTCCCGGACGGGAGATCGCTGCCGCTTCAAGTCCATCTGCACCTCCGCCTCGAGGCGCTTGTCCTCGGATTCGTCGGCTGTGCTTCTCTCGTCCTGGCTGTCTCCTGCGCCCTCGTCACTGCTGCTGCTGCTGCTGCTGCTGCTGCTGTTAGCCGCCTTGGCGACCTCCTCGGCCTCCACCTTGGCCTCCGCCTTTGCCTCCTCCCTCTTCTCCACCTTTAGGGGACCGCCGCTGCTACCATCGGGGTGCTCTCTGTCCTCCTCTTCCTCTTGTTCTTCGAGCTTCTTGAGTGTCATCTGAAACAAAGGAGGGGCATCCATTTGAGTTTTGCTCGGAGTTTTGGTTCCATAAAATATGATAACCGTTTGTAGCCACTGTAGAAAATGTCTTTATATACTTTACGCTATTTGGTGTAAAATTTGCAATTAATACGATGTTTTTAATTTACATTACTGATTGAATATTTTTCCGTAAAACCTACAAATATTTTTTACAGTGTTGGGCACAATGCCTGGTCTTACCTGTGAGTCGGATGATTCGGGGTGGGTTTTTGAGGAGGCATCGCTATCATCCCCCTTGTTTAGGATCCGAGACGCACTGTCGGTTTCATTCCGGTTTCTCGCTTCAGAAACACTGCTGGACGGCTTTTCATCGGCATCTTTCTTCTCTTCAGTTTTCACTTGGTCCCGATGAGTTTTCCTTTGCCGTTTATCGCTATCTTTGGGTGGCTTTTCTTCTTCTTTAACGACTTGTTCGGTGTCAACGGGTTTTGGCTTCGTATCTTTGTTTCTTCTATCTTTGGCGTCCCTTCCACGCGACTCTTTTCTGTCCTTCACAACGTCATCCTTACGTTTCTTTTCGTCTTCCTCTGCCTTTTTACGTTCTTCCGCCCTTTTCTTTCTCTCTTCATTACGCCTCTTCCTTGATTCCTCTTTTCTTTTTCTCCGCTCTTCCTTTCTCCTCCTTTCTCGTTCCCTTTCTTCTTCTTCGTCTTCGTCCTCATCATCTTCATCATCATCCTCATCCTCTTCTATTCTCTTCTTACTTAGTTTTGTTTCCTCCTCCGTTTGTTTCTCCTCTTCGATCTTTTTCCTTGCTACCCTCTTCTCTTCCTCCTCTTCTTTTTTCTTTATGGCTTCTTTTTCTTCTTCCTCCTCCTTCTTTTTCTCTTCCTCTTTTTTCTTTATTTCATCTTCTTCTTTCCTCTTTTTCTCTTCTTCCTTTTTCTTTTTTTCCTCCTCCCGCTTTTCTTCTTGTTCCTTTTTCTTCTTGTCATCTTCTAATTTCTTGTCTTCTTCTTCCCGCTTTCGCTTTTCTTCTTCCCTGCGTTTTTCCTCCTCCTCTTTCTTTTTCAGTTCATCAGATTTCTTCTTCTTTTCTTCATCTTTCCGCTTTTTTTCTTCAGTCTTTTTTCTCTCATCCTCTTCCTTTCTTTTCTTCTCTTCAATTTGTTTTCTCTTCTCATCGTCCTTCTTTTTATCCTCCTCTTCTTTCTTCTTCTTTTCCTCTTCCTTCTTTTTCTTGTCTTCTTCTCTCCGTTTCTTGTCTGCCTCTTCCTTCTTCTTTTTCTCCTCATCCTTTTTCTTTCTCTCCTGCTCGTCCCGCTTCTTTTTATCCTCATCATCCTTCTTCTTTTTCTCTTCCTCCTTCTTTTTCTCTTCCTCCCTCTTTTTCTCCCGCTGCTCTCGTTCACGTTGCTGCTGCTTTACGACGGGCAGGGGTGGTGGCGATTGGCGCGGAGTCGTAAGTTTTGGCGTGGTTGTCGTAGCCTTGGTGGTGGTGGTTGTAGTTGGTGCTGCCGTGGTGGTTGGCGTCGATGTCGTAGAGGGTGGCGTCGTGGTGGTGGTTGTAGTTGTGGAGGTCGAGGTAGTTGTAGAAGCTGAAGCGGACGATGGCTTAACTTCCTCTTCATCCTCGTCGTCCTCCTCCGAGCTGCTGCTCTCCTCAGGCGCCTTAGTGGTCGTCGTGGTTGTCGTGGTCGTGGTGGACGTTGTCTTGTCACGCCCCGCCCTCTGGCGCGGGTCCTTCTTCAGCTCGACTCGCCCGTCCTCCGGCACGTCCTCGTCGTCCTCCTCGCTGTCGTGCGATCTGCTCTTTTTGGACTGTTTCTGCTCCACCTCATCAGATTCATCCTCAGTCTTACTCACTTCCTTCTTCTTGGGCTCCTCGCGCCTTTCCTCCTCCTTCCTTGCCTCCTCTTTCTTCGTCTCTTTTTTCTTCGGCTCGTCCACCTTCGCCTCGTCCTTCTTGGCCTCGAGCTTGGCTGACCGCTGGTCCTGCTTGGGCTCCCGCCTGGCCTGGTCCCTGGCCTCACGGGGGCGCTCAGAACGCTCAGAGCGCTGCGCGGCGGAGATCTTGGCGGACTGCTTCCCGTCCTGGCGGGGGCGCGCAGTGGTGGTTGTCGATGAGACACTGCAAGAAGATGCAATACGTCGGGTGTTAATGCAGGCTGGGTGACTTGCGCCGTTTTGTATCTTTGTATGCTACATATACCGCATGCACGAGTGTGGAAGTTACCAATGTTTGGAATCAATAGGACACCACATCCCACCAATTTAAAAAAAAAAAATTGTCGCCCTCCTATTTGTGTTTCTCTAAAATTATTAAAAATACTTGTACCCAAGCGCAAGTGGGCAATATTTTATGGATTCGTCTTAAACCCACTAACTAAAAACACTGACAAGGGAACCTTTTCAGGTGTAAATCTCCAATTTCGTTGAAACTTGGAAAATTTGAAGGTTATTTATCTAGAAATCGGATGGCACTTGAATTTTTTCCTAAACCTCACAATTAGTTTCCCCCTAGATAGGGTAGGAGTTAGGTTTTCAAAGAAGATATTTTTTCAAATATGTAAAGAAGTGTTCGAAGATTCGTCAAAGTAGCGCCCTTATAACCAAAATTTTGTCCGTTCTCTATTTTGCACCGTTAATGCGAGGGATGTTTGGGACAAAAAACAGTATAAGACTTAAATAAACCCCTACTAACTGTGAGGTTTAGGAAAAATTTCTAGTGCCATCCGACTCCTATTACAAAAACCTTTAAATTTTCCGAGTTCCAACGAAATCGGAAATTTACACATGAAAAGGTTCCCTTGTGAGCGCAATGAAACGCCTGTAGGGTAGGCAACTCACGCACACGTGTGCGCGCCGGCACGGGCTACCCGCAGGCGCTCGCGGTACTCACGGTGCCTCCTCGGTGGTCGTAGTGCTTGGTGTCGGCTTGCTCGTGGCCTCAGAGGTGGCCTCCTTCGAGTCCTCCTCGGTATCCACCGACGCCGTGCTGGAGGGAAGTTCCGGCGCGGCCGTGGTGGTTGTCGTCGTCGTCGATGTCGATGTCGTCGACGTGGAGGTAGACGAGGAGGAGGACCGGGACCGGCTGCGGGCGCTGCGCGCGAGCGCACCGGGGGGCAGCGCGCTGCAGGCCAGCAGCAGCAGGCAGACGGCGCCGCCCTGCGCACAACAGCATCACAATAGAGACACGCACAACACAAGAAGAAGCGTAGCAGGAGCAGGACGGTGCACTCACGGAGATCTTCATGTTGGCCGAGGCGGTTGCCAAGGCGGGGTGCACCGCGCGTCGGCAGATGCAGGTGCGTCAGGACGCCGTCGATTCGGTGCGACGAGTGACACCTGTCATGCACCCACTCGGTAAAAAAGTACTCTCTCTCCCACCAGTGTGGCCCCGGTACCTATTTATGTAGCGGGGGAGGGGGTCCCCCTTTGCCTACTCACCCCCCTCTCCCGGGCAGAACAGATGGGAGGGTTCAGTGGCGGGCGGGGTGGGGTGGAGAGCGAGTCGACAGGGGGGCCTGCTTTACCCTGATTTAGGGGACAAGTAACGAAGAGTTGAAAGCTCTGTGGATCAATGCTATTATATTGGCCTTGCTCTGGGCCCTGTCAAACTGTTTGGAAATGTTTCAGAGATCTTATCTGCAAACTAGCTGCGTGAAATATGGAGAGAAAGCCCTGCCGGTTGCGAGGAGGGGGTGGG